TTAGAAAACTTACGTTTCTTAGAGGTTCAGCCCACTGGTTAGCAAATTGGTCAAGTTTCGTGCCTTTCATAAATCCCAGCGATGCGCTCACCCAATACCACGATACTTGTTGCAGAACTGTCTCTTCTTCACTGTCTTTGAAGTACAGCCTATACAATTCATTTCACTAAGCTTATAAAGGGCAAAGATAAATCAAATTCGAGAACCATCTAGCGATATTTTGAGCCAGGCTGGTATTTATCGGTAGGGGATCATTGCATGGCGCAATCTGCTGTGCTGCTACTTCTTCCAAGTTACAATCCCAGTCCTGAAATTTTCTGTCTTTCGATTAGTGATCTTACCGAGAGTCTAGTCATAAACACACAATAGGAAAGCGCAAATACCACCCGCGTGCGCTTCTCCGAGCTTTGTTTTGGGTTACTATATAAGGCAAACTAAAGTAACATAGTCCACAGCCAAAGAGAAATGGGGTTCTAAAATTCGAAAATATACGGCTGTACGTCTGCTTTGTATGTGAGAAGGTGTAGCTACTAATGCGCACGACTCTTTAGGATCATCTTCACAACATTGAACTAATGCCAAGCATTTCTGGAAGCTTTGACTATCCGTTACTGAAACTTATCCGATGGGAAAGTCTGGTAGAAGCTGGTATATTGTGGACCTCCCCGTGTATACAATCTATGAAAAAGGGGTCCATTTCTGAGAGATTAAAAACACTTTGACCTCTCTCGCACAAGTTTATCGCTCTAGGTTTTCGGGGCAAAACACTCAGATGAAGAATTACTCATCGCTCTCGTGTTACTATAACCACGCCCATGATTACTATTACGTCATCTACTTATTTCTATGGATGCCGAACTTGTGGAGGGACCTACGAACTATCAACACTTGAACTTTGTGCAAAGTTTGGATAAGAAGAAAAGGGATACAGGCTCACTCCCCTAGCACGTTTCCCTTGCCAATCTGAGCGCGGCGACATGTAGTAGTCTGCAAACGCCTCAGTGGAAAAGATTACGATATCTTGGATGTGGAGAAAGGGGCGGTACATCAATTGCAAATGTATGGGTCTCCAAACAAGCGAAGAGATGTGTTGCGCTCAAGGAGGCGTCTATTGCCACGTAGCTAACCCTAACCCACCTGTCGTGGTTCAGTCCACCTCCATGTGAAGGACTCGAGATATGGTTGGCTGGTGATTTCATCGTCATTAAATGACGTAAATGTTCATTTCAGAAGAGTAGTACATTAAGCGGCCATATTAGCGAGCTTTCCTTGGCATTGCGTTACCAATGAAAGGATTATGTTCATTGGCATGATAGCGACAGTCGGGATTAACATCCTACGAAGCGAGCTCGCCTTGGTCGCTGGCTTGTCCAAAGCGAAAATCAAAGAGATTCGCAGTGCCCCATTACGCGAGCTCTGAGCCATTTTCTCGCGGATTTTTCTTGACTACTACACACCCTTCGTCTCACGTCTACTTTCTCCTCCATGTAGCAACGATTTTCTCGTAACATTGGACTTTAAATGATGAATATGTAAATGTGCAATCAGGTTATGTTCATAGCAGTTGTTCAATAAATATTTGAATTTCATTTCACGATTTTCGGTTTTGTTCAAAAGACCCAAGGTGTGAGGTATATTATAAGGTAATCCTCTTTTGAAAAGCAATGAATAATGACGCACCACTTTGTACATGTTCTGAGCTGGACCAAGAACGACCGCGTCTGCTTCTACTGTCCAGTTTAACAAACCTTTCCAAGTGCTATATTTCGACGAACATCATTGTGAAAATCGAGGAAAATCTGCCTCGCGCTGTCACTTTGGCTTAGACTATTCGGGCAACAAAAGCCTGAAACATGTTATACATTTCGCCAAGAGATGATCCAGCTGCTTTTAGGACTGCTAGTAGCATTGTGAGGATCACGAATGAATAATTAGCTCGATGTGCTGCCGCCTTCTGTAGCGGCCGTTCGGAGAATTTCGGGATCTGTTAGTCACGAACCTGCTTCGGCATAGGAGAACACGGGCCTAAAAATAAACCTTCAGCAAATGAAGTGCTTGCTTGAAGGCATTGTATTAGTTGGCTGGGAGGGGGGAGAGGTTTCATTGGACGTCATCGGTGGACGAACGTGAAGTAGTTGGTATACCACACCACACCCTCGGGACGCCGAGGGGTCTGGTTCCCCAATGGCGTCCATTGACGTCACCAAAACCGCTCCGCCCTCCAGTCATCTGCTTTTACTGTTGCCGGCTCGATAGTTCTGCAAGACCCTTTTAATATACCTCTGATCAAATTTAGACTTACCAGGAGAACAGCAACTACAACAGCCGCCGACATAGCAGTTCTCGACTTTGGATGGCTATCGAAATCCGCTCATGCTTTTATATGAACTGAAGCACCTTTTTCGAGCGCTTGGCTATCCCATTGGTTTCACTTAGCTTGGCTATGATATTATGCTATTCATATTATTCAGCTGATCAATAAATCAACCCTTTTCAGGGTACTCGGCCAATTTTATCTTCACATCCAAAAATGGATTAATTCCAACATCTGACATAGGACACGATTTGGTGAGAGAGCCTCTGTGGTTGAACATTGAACTCTCGCTGACGTGAAGCCTTGGTCGTGGTTAGATACCTAGACAAATTTTTCCTTGATCGATGTAGCAAACTCCTACGCACAAAGGTGGAAGTTCGTGAAAGTGAGCGGCAAAGGAACTAGCGCCTCCGTTTGAACGCTCCAACCGCTGCCATTCCTATCCAAGGCATCTGTGCCCTTAGTGTCCAGCGCGCTCTTTCGCGTTTCCTCTTTTCGCAGAGCTGTGTTCCTCTATCGTACCAATGTTGACTTCATAAAAATTAGTGTTTTCTATGATCCTTTAGTTTTTTCTCTGCTAACGTTCCTGTTCACAGTTCTTGTTTGGTTATCAAACAAAGCAATAGCCCAATTTGAGCATGAAAAGTGCTGTCAAAGCAACAACCCCAGCAGAAGTTGTGTCGAAGAATTGGTTCTGTGGATGGGATGGAGTGACCCCCGAGTATCACAAATGGGCCGTTGTCGCGCCATGAAGTGCATGGACGAGATTCTTCTCGCACACCCCATAAAATGTAACGCTAATTACGGCGTAGCGGCTAATTCAGATACGCGCGGTGTGAAGCCGTGAAGCAAGTAATATAGCTTTCATATAGCTCGACCTGCCCCACTCCTTCCTCAAGGAGGAAAAGAAAAACCTTTTCTTCGAAGGTAGAAAAGAGGAACCTTTCAATGGCTTCATCGACGGCTTTTTGCCTCTTTTTCATTTTTAATCAAATCACAGCTCGCACCACTATTATCGGTCGCTGTGACCCCACAAATTTGATCGGAGGTGGAGTGGGGGAAGCGGGTTTTGAGTGATCTGTCCCAGTCTGTACTGTTGGAGATCCGTAAAGCCGGTCTTTACTGGGTCATTCTATATTGATTATTTACTTTAATGATAGTTATTCAGTGAAAATGCGGAACTTCATTTGCCTTCCGGCCTGAAAAACATCCCTTTTCCTGAAATCATCGTTCGGTAACACACTCCAAATTGACTCTATTACTACTACTCCATGCTACTGTCACGGCGAGTTTAGTAATAAAGTGGCTCCTGCAGTGGTTTGGTTGCTTCTATACTTTTATCGCACTCATTGATATCAACGTCACTAACTGTGAAAGGTGACATGGGGATCGGATAGTTCATAATCTAACAATCACCATGTAATATGAAAATGTAACTTAAGCAGGATGGCGTCCATTATAACTCATAAGAAACCGTCCGGCCAAATTGGTTTTTTCTACTAAAAGCGTTGCGAAATACTGGCGACAATGGGTGCGTGTTCGTTATGTTCGATTAGCATGCCTTGTCAAAAGCAGCGCTTTCCGTCAGGTCGCATGTTGCGTTGAGTTTAATTTTAACTTTATGATTTATTTATTTATTTTGAGCACGCATAGGTGCGCGACTATAACGATGTTAGCCAATAGCTGTATACCGCAATGAAGAGTGAAGCTTGACCGACCTTAACTCGTAAGGGAAAGAGAGTTACCACGCGGAAGACAAAAAGGAAATACATACAAAACTTCTGCCCAATCGAAGAAATTGTTGAGAAGACCTGGTGTCACCACGTTGAGCAGAACACGCTTTATGATACACAAAGAGTGACGCGGTAGATAAGGGAGGACTCGGCGCTAGGGGCATATTACGCGCACTTCCTAGGAGTCGTTTCGGAGCATACGTTACGGAATGCCGGAAATATGAATCTTTCGCTGATTGTGTTAAGTATTTCACCCTACCCCTAACAATTCAGTTTCGGTACACGCTCAAAAGCATTAATTTCAACCAGTAAATTATAACATTACTCAAAACTAACTACTGGTAGAGTACTGCTTTAGTTTATGATAGGAGACTGGTAAAATCCTCTGTAGGATCAACGCAGACATCCACGTAGATTTCCATGCTCCAACAACACCGGTCTTCGCAGTGACATCAATTCAAAACTGACAGCGTGGCTTCTCAGAACTAGTCATTTGTGAAAGGCTCACAACTCAAAAAGAAAAAAAATACAAACAAACAAAAACAAACAGAAATCAACTATCTACTATCACAGCCTTCTAAAATATCGGTCGAACTGACAGTTAGAGCGCAAGAGACAAACGTTCAGAGTAAATGTCCGATAACTGAAAAAAACATTTGTCTCAAAAAAAATTAATCCAAAAAAAAAAAAAAAAAAAAAAAAAAAGAATAATCAACACACTCATCAAGGGGAACTCTTTGGGCAGTAATGTCCTTGTTCCCTTCACTTTCCAAGGACCTTGCAGCAAGAGCAATTCCAGGTGGTAGTATAGGCAGTGCTGCCATCACGAAGATTGGCTCCACCGACTATGCTATCCATATCTATGAAGACAAAACCCACTATAAAATTTGAATCTTTATAAAGACCCAAAATAAAGCTTTTCAGCTTTATTTAAGCTTTTTTTCCAAAGATTCAGATCACCAAAGCTGTAGCGTCTTTTCACTAAGGATGCCGACAAAATCGCAAAAGTTGCAACCAGCTTTACTTTTGAAGTCGTCATGTCTAGGGCGCCTTTACACTTTTGAAACAGGGGTTCTTCAAAATTTCCTAATAAAAATGTTTGTAGTTCATATTCCGTTCTGGATCAAACTCAGCTAGTACCGGAGCATGCTGAAGTTAATGAAAACGATTAAAAGTATCGGATTCTCCATCCTTCTCCGGAACAGCAGTTCTCAGGGGTGCCTTTATACTTCCGTAACACTGAATAAAAACCACTCCTGAGAAGTAAATCATGCAGTACGCTCGGGACAGGGTGAGACTGGATTCGTTGTATACCTTTGCAAGTTGTAACTCTTTAGATAAAATGCCTTGCGACACGTCGTCTACATAAACCCTCCTCTACCCTCTCCACTTTGCAACTTTTCTTTTATAGAGATCAGTTTTACAGTGGGG